GGGGTTTGCACGTGTTTTGGAGTTCGTACGTGCTTTGTCTCTAGGGCCCAACGCAAATATACTTTTATTTATTCACTCCACATAAAATGTGGAGTGAATAAATAAATCATATAATACAAAAAACAACTATTTACATTTCAACTTTTAGCTTTTTCCTTTTAAACAAATTTAAAGTGAAACAACACAAAACACTGCAAACCCCAACACTATAAAATATCAATTAAAATATGAAAACAAAAAGAAGATGCACATTCTCTATTCTATATAACAGGTATAAATATATTGTGACACAACCCTAATACATATTCAATAGGAAATTAAGAACTTGCAGTTAAATTCAGGGTTTCCCTTAACTTTCAGAGGTTGCATGAGTGATATGATAGATGTATGGTCATCTCTCAGCAAAGCTACTTCATGGCTACAAGTAGGGGTTTCATAGCTACATTAACCATACTTCTTATCCTGAACTTAACAATCATGTTGGTTCTCTTTATTGTCTGTCTGTCAACACCTGTTTGTATCTGATGTGGATCTCTGCTGTGCTATGATGTGGAACATTATGCTAGTAGTGAGTCTACACAGAGACAGGCTTTGATTTAGTTTTTTTCAAAACAGTTTACATTATCTTGATAAGCATGTTGTGAATGATGGAACAACGATGCAAAGATTGCTTTCTACACGTTTAAGCTGGTTGAACAGGTTTTTCGTTAAAAAGGCTATTTTGTTTTTAGACACAAAGGCTCTGACTGCACTTGAAAAAACAAGTTTAACCATCTTTCACTTCACCTTGGTTCACTTTTTGCTGTGCTACCGCTTCTTTGCTGTCTGTCATTTTGTTTATGGGTCAGAGAGACAAAATTTCAAGCCAAAACACCGCCAAAAGAAAACTCTGCAGCAGTGTTTTGTCTAATTTAAGTGCCTCGAGTCCTGCACTTGATTTATAATTGGGGAGATACAACAACACTGGGCTCGCATTTGAGCTCCACAGACCACATGTTTGGACAGTGAGTGTCAGCACTTGGCATGTGTAAATATAATTGCTCTTATTTTCTTTTTTAAGGCAGACTGT